CTGCGCGGTTGTCCAGTACCTCTCACGTGATTGAAAGATTTATGGCCCAGCGTGGTTTCTGATCAGCCCGTGTGTGTCTTGATGTCTCGATATTCTCGGTATTGGCTCGTCCCACGTTTATTCGTGGACTGATGAATTAGCTAGTTGATTGGGAGATCGACTCAAGTTCGAAGCACTTGCTTGTCAAGGCGCGGGTTTCTCTAGCGTATTGTAAGTAACCTTTTCTACAGGAACATCCACAAGCTTGGCATTTGATTCACTGATTCCGACACGCATGGTTCAAAACTTAAACAATTGCCCGATCAGTTTGTGTTGTGGGCGATGTAGTGCTTGCGTGAAGTTGCGTCCATCAAGCTTGGCAGTGAGAATAAGCTGCTTTCAAACTCTTCACGAAGTCTGCACGCCTGTCTGGCTCGTCAGTCACTTGCTGCCTTCTTTTCCTCTCCGATGCGTTGCTGTTAATTGCGTTGTCGCTTCTTCTTTTTCCTTGTTTGTCTGTCGTGATAAACAACTTGTTTATTCGTTCGTGTGCTCGGTCTTTCCGGCTTTCCGCTACTTTAGTGAATCCGTCTGCTGCTCTCATCCCGCCCCAATGCGGTCCATCCCCGCGGACCCCTTTTCCTGCTTGCCCGTGTATTTGGGTCCTTGTCTTATGAGCATAGTAGCACACTGTCGTGCGCTCACGGGCGCGAGTACGTTGTGCAGGTGCGTGCGTGCTTGTTCTTTCTCGGCTATGTCTCTGGTTTGCTTGATGTTCGGTTCGTTGCATGATCTCTGAGTCTCTGCCCCCAAGAATGCTTTTTTATTGTTTGCCCCCTGTTCTATTCACGAGGCAGTGGCGTGTCTGATATGGTCAGGCACGCTTCGACGAGATTTGGAGACTCCGACGATACTTCGGTGGACGCTTGATCTGCGCTTGCGCTTGCCGATCTCCTTGTGAGTCGTTGATGTCCGCAAACAACTGGCTGTGATCAATGATGAAGCTGCTGAGGTTGGGGCTGCTCCCGTTCTCCGGTCGGGGTAGCACTTCACCGAGCTCAAGCACGTGTCCTCTCACGTCGAGAGACGCTCGAAAGGGAAGAAGTTACGTATGATACACGTCCGGTAGGTCTTAGCTTTTTTATTTTAACGGCGAAGAACCGCCGGCAGCAGGTGCGACCGTGCTCGGTACTGCTCCCACATGTGTGTGCTCCAGTCGCCAACTGCAATTCGTCAACAAGCAGCTGTCTCCAGTCTCACCTGGAAGCTCCCCGATCCCAACAGTTCTTCTTAACAAAATAAACGAACTTGACAAAAAAAAGAAAACTACCGATTCCGCTTTCCACATTGTAGGCCGACTGCTTTGCTCTTTCGCCGTGCATCTGGAGTTTCCTGTCTGTCAGCAACCGACTGCTATTTCTCCTCCACGTCCCCGTCCGTATGGTCGTCGTCGTCCGCCTCCTCCTCCTCCTCCTCCTCCTCCTGCTACTACCAGCTATGTAGTACCCACATCACGTTCTGGGGTTCATGCTCGTGGTGACTGGTCAGTGTGTCGACTTTCCCGCTGGCCACTTGTATTGCCGCACGACATCTGCCGGTGCGCGTTACCCGCCACGGACCTCCGCACCAGTTGCTGTTTTGATTCCTCGTCGTCATCCTGGTTTCGACGTGGTGGTGTCCTCTTCCTTCAACCCGAATCTTCTTCTTCTTCTTCTTCTTCTTCTTCTTCTTCTTCTTCTTCTTCTTCTTCTTCTTCTTCCTCTGCCTTCTTTTCCTGCTCCATCAGCTGGTGGAGGTGTCGCATTTCCTCTGCCTGAATATGATACTTGTTCCACTAGTTGCAGGTTTGATGGTATTGTTGTTTTTGTTTTTGTTTTGTCATTGTTGCTCTTCTTCTTCTTCTTCTTCTTCTTCTTCTTCTTCCTCGTCCTCCTCGTCCTCCTCGTCCTCCTCTTCCTCCTCTTCCTCCTCTTCCTCCTCTTCCTCCTGGTGTTGGCGGTGGACTATTCCCTCTGCCGAAATCATCATCATCTTCTTCTTCTTCCACTTCTCTCTCTTCCTCTTCTCCTCCTCTTCCTTCTTGTTCTTGTTCTTGTTCTTGTTCTTGTTCTTCTTGTTCTTCTTCTTCTTGTTCTTCTTCTTGTTCTTCTTGTTCTTCTTGTTCTTCTTGTTCTTCTTGTTCTTGTTGTTCTTCTTCTTCTTCTATTCTCCCCCTCCTCCTCCCCGTCCTCGTTGTCCTCCTCCTTCTCCTCCAGTCAGCAGTGGACTGCCCCCCCTCCCGAAAATCATCATTTTCTTCGTATTCTTCATCTCCCCTTCCTTCTCCTCCTCCTCCTCCTCCTCCTCCTCCTCCTCCTTCTCCTCCTCCCCCTCCTCC